TCAGTGCTTATTTTCATGGTTACGTTAGTCCTTGTGGACTTTAATTTCCTCAGAACATCATTTTAATTTTAAAAAGGGATTAAATCACTTGTCTAAGAGTCAGAGTGAATTTTTAATTCTAGAGGGAGTTCTCACATTACTATTCCACAAAGAGCAAAATCAACTTGCTTCCAATTCAAAAAATTCTTATTTAAAATTTGAAAATGATAGAGCTCATTGCCCAAGCTACCTTTGAAGCCATAAGGCTTCTTCCACTGGCACCATCCTCAGGGGATAAAAATATACCACCATTTGGCTAAATATATAAGGTTATGAAGGTTTATTTTTCTATTTATGAAAAGAAAATATATTCTCTGTAGAAAATTTATAAAACAGAGATGATGAAAATGAAGAAAAATTAAATGCAATTCCACTACCCTAGAAAAACCACTGGTTATAACTGCTAACTTTCTTTTCAATCCTTTTAGTCTTTTTCTCTATCCATCAGATTTTCTTTTGTAAAAATTGGATTATACTGCTATATGCTAATTTTTTAAATTATTTATTTATTTATTTTTCACTGTGTTGGGTCTTCGTTGCTTCGTGCAGGCTTTCTCTAGTTGCAGCAAGTGGGGGCTACTCTTCATTGCGGTGCACGGACTTGTCATTGCAGTGACTTCTCTTGTTGTGTAGCACAGGCTCTAGGCGCATGTGCTTCAGTAGTTCTGGCACGTGGGCTCAGTAGTTGTGGCACGTGGGCTCAGTAGTTGTGGCCCACAGGCTCTAGAGCTCAGGCTCAGTAGTCGTGGCGCACGGGCTTAGTTACTCTGCGGCATGTGGCTCTTCCCGGACCAGGGCTCGAACCCGTGTCCCCTGCATTGGCAGGGGGGTTCTTTAACCCTCCACCATCAGGGAAGTCCCGTTATATGCTAATTTTAATTAACTTTTAAAATTTGACATATTATGAATATCCTTTTATATAATTAAATACCTATGACATCATTTTTAATACCTGCGTATTTCATAGTATAGGTATATTATTTAACGTCCTTGTAGCTAAATAGTTACACAGATCCATGATAATTCCTTAAAGTTAAATTCCTTTTCTTTTTTTGGCTGCGCCATGCAGCTTTTGGGATCTTAGTTCCCCGACCAGGGATCTAACTCGTGGAAGCATGGAGTCCTAATCACTGGACAGACAGGGAGTTCCCTAAAGTTAAATTCCTTTAATTGGATTTGCTGTATCAAGGGGTACACACAATTTTAAGGTTTCTGATATGCACTGCCAAATTGCCCTCCAATTTATACACTCACTAGCTACTTATAAAAGTATGTACCCATTTCTCACATACTCACCAAGTCAGTTTCTATTTTTTATTTTTAATCTTTGCCAGTTTGATAATCAAAAACATGGCTTTTTGTTTAAGTTGAAATTCTTTGATTACTAGCGAGGGTGAGCATTTTTATACAGTTAGTACCATTTGTATTTCTTATACTGTGCATTATTATATTATTATACCCTTTATCGAGGTATTCGCCATTTTGTTCTTGATTTGAAAGTGCACTTTTTGGGCGGTGGGGGCCACACCACACAGCATGCAGGATCTTAGCTCCCCGACCAGGGATCGAACCCGTGCCCCCTTCAGTGGAAGCACAGAGTCCTGACCACTGGACCACCAGGGAAGTCCTGCAGGTGCACTTTCAAATGACATTAAGCTTCTCTTACATATGTTTCAAACACACTTTTCCCAGTCTTTAACTTGTCTTTTAATTTTGAAATTCAGAGGTGTGAAATGTTCTCATTTGTTTTCTGCCTTTGATAGCTGTTTTTGGTTTTGGGTTTGGTTTTGGTTTGGTTTTAATATTGAGCTCAGTCCTGAATCCTGCCTGTCCCTATTCAGGGCACATCATGTGAGTCTAGGCATCCTGTAGCACAGCAGTTTCAGCACAGGTTGACATGTTCCCTTTCCTGATGAAGCAATGCCCTGAGTCCTCACAACCCCAAGCTTTAGGAGAGGAAAAAAAGAAACAAAAAAGAAATGAAAGCAAATTCAAAAGCACACTGCCCTGAACACTGCCAAATTCAGGCTGCCACCAACCTCCAAGGAAATAAATTCCAAAGATAGTAGTAACTCTCAGTTAAAATTAAAAAAAAAAAAAAAAAAAAAAAAAAAAACCCCCCC